GTTGGCGGGCGAGAGGGAAGCAGGCGACTTTTTGGCCACTTTTAATCGCTCGGTATTAATTAACCACAAGTTTTTAAAGAATAAATTTGGTGTTCCGCATAAGACTAACCACAAATCTTTCATATGTAATGGTTAAAAGAGTAACAAAAACAAAGTTTAGTGGTTCTTTAAACCGTTCAGTACACACAAATTAGCTTCCACCAGGAAATCCAGGAACAGCTGACCATAGGAATTATCTTTGTGATAATTACCTTTCTCTCTGGTACTCCATCCACATCCTGAACATAGTCCAGATGATTACTTATCCTGGCATTAAAATCACCACAGATAAGCCATATACCATTGAAAGTGTCAACTTAAAACTCAATCCATTGTTTTCTGCACCAGGAGATTTCTTAATGACCACCGTGCAGACGTCCAGGCCACAACTGTATAAACACACTGCAATTAATATGACCTAATTGACGCCTATTACCATTGTGACACGGTCGTGTGACGTCAGCTATAAAACCTAATCCAGACACGGGTTGTAAAACAAACCGTAATTTAGCTGATGCAATTATCCTGTCACGGTCACGTGACTACACCTCCAAAACTCCTTTCGGCATGTCCAATCAGTAACTGTTCGTAAAAATATCTGATCTATGTCAACCAACCAAAATCGTAATTACCGTATTATATGTTTTGGCCAATCGCAAAGAATTCCAACATTGATCAGTGATGTTTTCGTCTATAAAAAGAGGTCAGTGATATCCGATCGGCACCCTTGACCTCACAATACCACAGTAACCTTCGGTAAGAAGAACAGGAAACTATAATTTTATGATCGGACAAGATATTATCGAGCTTATATAAATACCTTGGCGTTGTTGTCAGTAACAATCGTTCGTATGCAAATACCAGAAAATCTAATATTACCCAGGCCAATAAAGCAATGCATCTGTTGTACAAGCAATTAAGAAATATTAACATGTCTATAGAATGTAAACTCTATTTATTTCATTGTACTATTTTCCCTTTTTTGCTCTATGGGTGCGAAATATGGGGATTTGAAAATGTAAAAGCAATTGAAAGGATTCATACTGATTTTATTAGATATATTTTAAACCTAAGACGCAGTACCCCAACATATATGTTGTATCGTGAAACATGGATATCACCTCTAATTGATAAAATCAAACTGCGCATGTTGTTTCTGGTCTAAAATAGTATCCGGAAAATGTAATTCTACGTTAACAGCATTATATCAAATATCATTAACAAACTCAATGAAATACAACCAAAACTATAAATGGCTCAATTACATTAAAACCACATTAGATAATATTGGTATGTCCAAGATATGGCACTCTCAAGATACAGTTTCCTTTTCTTGGTTCAAAAATGCTGTCCAACTCAGATCAATCGCTTCAATTGCTTAACAACCCAATAACATCTTCCTCTAAAGCTGCTATCTACGAATGTATGAAATCTCATTATGAAATCTCTTTACTGGTAATATTTTAATCAAATTTAAAACCGCCAACCATAAATTACCTATTGAAACAGGTCGCTGGGAAAATATTCCCTCAAATAAACGATTCTGTCCGTCATGTCCCTCCCAACTCGGAGATGAGTTTCATTATTTATTTCAATGTAATAAATTTACTGCTTCCAGAAATATGTATTTTAAGAATTATTATGTAAACAACCCTAACTATTATAAAATGTCAGCCCTATTTGAAACTCATAATATGAAGGAATTAAGAAATCTATGTAAATTTATTTCCATTATAATGTCTGTCAACATGACATGATTAGTTTACCTGTACATAATTGCTGGATTTGTTTCAAGCCATAGCCTAAAAGTGATATATTTTTTTAAAAATACTCCCATTATGCTTTGCATGTATTTGTAAACTTATAGTAATAAAAAGGATGATTGATTGATTGACAATAAATGTTGAAACATCTCCTTGACTGATCATTGACTTAAAGGTCACATGCAACCAAAAAATCAAACATAATTAAAACACAATTATCACTTATTCATGACATATAATATGCATTGCTGATTATGAAAAAACAAATAAACAAAATTATAAGCGTATAATCGCAAATCAAAAGTGCAATATTTTGTACTTGGGTTTACCTCCCTCGAAACGAAGCAGCCGGGATACCGAACCCAGTCAGAGCGGGTGGGTGTGCACTCAAGTGTAACGGCTGGTTCATTAGCAGATGCCGCCTTCACGGCTTATTGTGTGTGTATATATAGAGATGTTGGGTTTTGTAAATACATGCTCATTTTTTGTGTATAACATTTTGCAATCAACAGACATCATAACATGTCATGTGTTCAACTATCACACCTGCCTGTCTGTGTAATTACATAATGTGACAGAGACCAAACTCGGGCCATAAATCAATGCGTTTTGTTTATGGTGTATAGCCTGATTGGTGTTAAGTTCAAATTGCATGTGGTCAGTGATCGAAGTTGTGTATTGAATATTGTCATTAGCAGACAGGCAGGCAGACACACAGGTGTCAATAAAACAAGACATTGAGTTTTGTCTGTGACAGCGACATATCTATATCACAGTTAGAAATTGTGTCAACGCTAAATAATGACATTGCTTTTAAGTATCGAACTGAGAAAGTGACTCGGTAAGAAGAACGTGTGGTGAAATAGACAAATGAAATTATATAAACAGTTTATTTACTGTGATAACATATAAAAAGCTCGCGCCTGTGAGATATCAACAAAACAAAAGCCTTCACCGAGTATTCACCAGACAGCCCGCTTCCAAGTTGCGCGAACCTATTTCACTGCGCACGTGCTATGAGCGCAGCCCAGCTGTTGAAACCCGTATTCCCCAGAAAAGTCTGGGGAAAATTAGTGAAACGTTTGAACTCCGATTTCGCGCGTTTTTTTTCATCGCGTTATTTTTCAACTTTATAAGTTGAATTTGCATTTTTGACGCTTTGTTTCGGTAAGTCCATACCTAAAGGTATCAGAATCTGCAAAGTTGTGTTTTACGTTGCATGTGACCTTTAAGGAATTCTACATTCTATTTTAAGGATTTAAACTTGTTATCCCATAACGAGCCGGGTGACAGTATTAACTCACTCTCTGTGGTAGTCCAGCTTCGGTTGTTGGAGCTCTGTAGCCTGGTGTTAAATGACGAGGTTTAATCTTTTGAAAAGGTTTGTTTATGTTTAATCTTGTCGGGTTAGTTTCATGATAAAACTGTGATAAGGATTGTTGTTTTACACATCAGACTTTGAATCCCCAGGTCTCGACAAACATGTTAATAGTCTCCGTGTTTGTCACACGTTAAAAGCCCAGACTCGCGCTAGCCTCTGGGGTAATAATTAATAGTTTTAATGATAATGTCTGAAAGATAAAAATAAAATTAACACATTGTCCCTCTAACAGACTGGCTCCCATGTACTGTCCACTTATCTAAACTTGCACCTTTAAAGGATAGAATTACTTTACATCCATGGGCCTAGCATTCAGCACAACCTTGCAGCAAGGTTACCACTAGCCCTGTACGTGATACACATCATCTCAAATCAAACAATTACCAGCTGTGGTCCTGAGTTAATTACAGTATTGTAGAATTATAATTTTAATTACACACAGACGCATTTGTGGGACGTTTCGGGAGCCGAGCGTATCGATCCAAACGTACAGTCCGTTTGATGTAATTTGAGACCGATGAATTGTTCACTGACACAAAATCTAATGTATTAATGCAGCAAAATCATATTTTGCACGGTCACTTGAAAGAAAGTGTGTGTGTGTGTGTGTGTGTGTGTGTGTGTGTGTGTGTGTGTGTGTGTGTGTGTGTGTGTGTGTGTGTGTGTGTGTGTGTGTGTGTGTGTGTGTGTGTGTGTGTGTGTGTGTGTGTGTGTGTGTGTGTGTGTGTGTGTGTGTGTGTGTGTGCGGGCTTGCTGGTAGAACAGCCAGGTAATCAACAGGTGTGTGTAATGAAATCTCCATTTCACACGTGCAACTCGCACACCTTGCTGTTCTCCCAGAATGTGGTCTCCCCTCGTAAAAACATAGCGAAAGGTGACAACAGAATAATGATAGTGTCTTTAACAACTTTTTTGTTCGGATGTCCGAGATTATGAGACAAATCATCAGAGCTGGTCTGTCGATTTCATGTGACTGTGCAAAATTTGGTTTTGTTGCATGCATTAGATTTTGTGTTAGTGAGCAATGCATCGGTCTCAAATCAAATCAAACGCTCTGTGACAAATCAGTTCAAAAGCAACGACATCTGAGGCGAAGCTCCGTCGCTGGTGATCAACACAAAATTGTATATCTCCCCCAGGCTTCAGTCTTTTTTCTCCGTCTGCTGAACAGTCCCACATCTTCCTCATTCACACAGCGTTTTAGGTTTCCGCCATGACCCTACGTGTTTTCACGGTGTCCTCCCATTTGTGAGAACTCCCAGTTGTGAGACACATTAATTAATGGTTCAGTGTACACAGGTGGTGCTTCCCCATCCCTGTTGCTGAAGAGTACCCGCAGGAGGCATAGTTCATTAATGAGTTAATCAACACAGAAGACATTGTTCGTTGAAGAGCATTTATTGTTTACAATAGATACTGAAATACTGAAAAAGATTATCGTGAACAGGCGATATATTCTACTTGTTGAAGGCCTGCCATAATGGTGATCCGAAAGAGCAGTCATTTTTTAAAGCCATTTATCTGAGTAGGTTAATTACTTTATCTTTTAGAGTTTTATTAAGTTACCTCCACAAGATGCAGTTAATAGCTAATCCATAATTAGCTGGGGTTAATCCATTCTATCAGATAGGGGAGTAAGGTGTGATTTCTTTGCTAACTACCTAGTTCACTGTCTCACAACTGGGAGTTTCTCAACTGGGAGTTCTCACAAATGGGAGTAGACCGTTTTCACTGACCTTTGGCTAAGACACGCTAGTTCCGGTGACCTTTATGGTGTCATATTTCGTATCACAAACCTACGTATAATGGGTTTCCCAACCGTCTTCCTGGACCGCTCAGCGACGCTGTCTGCTACCGATCGTTGTTAAGTGTGGGCTGACACGAAGCGAGCAATATTTGATTAGCAGCTCCAACGACTAACCGTGTTTGACAAGCGGACGCCGCATTGCATAATATCCAATGTTTCCCTGTGCCCGACGAGAGCTGATATTCGACTGGGGTGTATATTTTTGATAGCCATGACAATGCGCTGCAGGAAACATTGTGTTTTAACAGGTGAGAAATTTATTTGGATTCTTATTCCCTCTTTTCCTTTCACGACGGAGTATATTATTCCTGTTACAGCAAGGGAGCCTATGCGCCTTTTGTTTTTGTTTAACCTGAGCGTCCTGGTCTATACACCAGGTGGAGATGTCCACGTGGTGACGGCCCAATTAAACTGATTCCTGTCCTTCCTCCTTATACCGCACCAGAAAAACAACAATACGTATGAATGACCCTATCTAAAAATTTATGTACAAAGTATGTGCCCCCCTCCGTAGATCATGTACAAATTAATCCCCTTCCCATAAGCATTAGTATTTTGATTTTAAGCATAATTTTTTTAAATGTGTTTATGTACAAAATTGTTGACCCCAAAAGTGCATGTGTTCAAAATTGATGCCCTCCCTCGCTCCCCAGAACAAAATGGGTGCCCCTCGTACAATCAGCAACACTCCCACCCCCACCCCCAGCCATACATTATCAACGGTCCCCTCGTTTTATAACGAGTACACGTATAACGAACTATTGTTTTTTACCCGGCCACATTCATATTTTGCTTGTGATGCATGTGTCGAAGCAGTGTTATAACGAGTTAAAATTAGTGGTCACTTTAAGTCCACTTTGTTTTACAGTAGCTTACTGTATGCTGTAGTCCCCTACGTTCGTTACAACCGTAGCTCGTGTTAGGGACTGAAAATTATATCTGCATCTATATTTAAAATATTCACAAAACAAGCTATACCATCAGATGTCATTGTTGAAGTATTTCATGTGTACCAGGTGGGATATATTGGCAAAGGTGATAAGCTTATGTGTATCTCCACCCTTGATAATAAAGTCTACACGAGGTTGGGGAAAGAGGGCAGGGGAAAGCGTCATTTGGTACATGTTACTACCCTTCCGCCTTATCTGAAGGAGTCCGTATCTCGTGTACGCGACCGAAACAAGGCAACCCAAACTTTTTATCCCCGTATTTCGTTCGGATAAACAAAGGGAGCAGGATTGCATCACACTCTCTAACATTCGATCTCAAGCGACTTTGCTCAAGGATAGAATCACTCAACAGAGCTACAATAACCTGGGACTGTTTCACGGTGTGCGGAAAAAAGTACCGGAAAAAAGTTCTAAATTTACCTAGGAAAAAAGTCCTCCGGAAAAACGTCCTATTTTGAAAAAGGAGATTTTTGAAAAGGAATAAAAAGTACTTCATAGTTTTTCACAGCGTTTATTGATATATTCATACAACAAATGTAAAACAGACAGAGGTTAATACTGATGAATATTAATGTATACTCACGAAAATGTAAGTACTTCAAGTAAATGTAAGTACTTCAAGTAAATGTAAGTACTTCAAGTAAATGTAAGTACTTCAAGTAAATGTAAGACACTTTGACACTTACAACTCATGCTTTTGAAAACATTATTTTAAAGATCAAAGATCGATTTGAATATCTAATCTGTCCGTTATAATCACAAAATGTAAGTACTTCATGTAAAAGTAACACAATTTGACACTTACAACTGATGCCTTTGAAAACACAAAAAATGTAAGTACTTCATGTTTCTAAATGTCAATTAAAAGATCAAAGACCTAGTACCTATCTAACTATTTAATACGTCCTTTTAATCACCCTTTGTATGTGAATACTTTATGTGTTTATAAGTGTCATTAAAAAGATAAAAAGATCCATTAAATAGCCCATATGTGTGAGTTATCAATGTTTTTCTAAAATCTTGGACCTCAAAGTTGATGAATAAATAGCTTTTTATTACAATAGGACTTTTGTCCGGAGTACTTTCACCATTAGGCTAACCTTCCGCTCCCCAGTCTGAAATGAAATTATCATAGTACCAAATCACTCACCCACCAGGCAGCGAGTAAAACCCCAACCTCATTGGTTGACACATGTCATCGTATCCCTATAGCGTGTATCGATACTTATGTTCATAACTAGACTGTCTGGTCCAGATTTATTTACACACAATATAGCTGGAATATTGTTGAGTGTTAAACAACAAACAAACGACCAAAACAATCTCCACCCCACTTTCACGATCACGACACTACCTTCAGGACAAAACCAAACCCTTAAATGCCGGGGTTCAAACCTATACACAGATAGGGTGTGGCCTCCTTGCCTTGTTAAAGCTGTTTTTCGATGCAAAGCAATGCAGTATTAAAGTGCATTCCATGAAATACCACAAAATTGACTTTCCGGTTCATGATGAAATTAAGCCATATTTCACCCCTACCCCTGACCCCATGCTGTGCAGGGTTATGGGTGTACACTTGTTTGATGCTGACATCACCATGTTGAAGAATTTATTTTCAGAAAATAAGCAAAATTTGAAATATGCTAATCAAATTCATCTTTTTAGTCATCAAAATATGTAATGAAAGGGTTGTTGCGCCATTTACAATAATGCACATGTTTTTTCTAGTAGTAAATTCCAAGGTTAACCTTTGACATCACCAGACTCTTGCCAGGCACCCCTAGCCGTTACAGTCCTGCCACTCATGGGCAGATAACATCTAAACTGCTGAGGAGCAGCCAATGGGAGACTAATTGGAAACCCATGGGTTTTTGGGAGGTTTGCATCCCGACCTTATATTATAAGATCAAATAACTGCCTCGGAAAAGTGCAGAAAAAAGTTTAAAATAATATTACATAAAATGGGTACAAAATAGCACAGTTGATATCCCCAAGGATTGTGTGGTATGTATGTGAGTGGTATTTGCAAGTATTTTCATGTATTATGAAATACATTGTGTCTATTCAAATTTTATTTTTCAAAGACACTGGTCACCGAGTGGGGATAACAACTTGTAACTAATGTCACAATCCCATTCTTCCATGAAGAAGGCTTCTCTCGGACAAAAAGTCCATGCTATAATGTCGTGAATATATTGCTGAAATACTGTAAAAACATTAATCACTCAGTCAGCTGTTGCCGCAATGTTATATCATAATTTTGACGTTTCCATATTCAAAATGAATCGCCTGCCATTAACGGACCTCGTTATAACGCCGCTGTACAACGATATTTACAGTTTGTTGCTAGGGAGGGAGGAGTGGAAGAGAGATTATGGCCGTCATTATGTATTTTTATCGATTTGCTTCGCAATATCATGCTCATATATTCGCTTTGTTTGTGTGTGTTAGCACGCCAGTTGGTCTTTCGAATAACATTGATTTCATTGATCAGGTTACTGGCATATGCCAGTTGGTTGTTTTGTTCATTAACGCCGTACTCAACAATATTCCAGCTAATTAGCAGTGGTCTGTAAATACTCGTGTCTTGACCGGACAATCCAGTGATCTACAGTATGAGCATCAATCTACCTAACTGGAATACAATGACATGTGTCTCTTTCAGAGAAATTGCCCATGGCAACCACGTAATTTTCTTTGTTCTTATTGTATCTATTATTGTTATACTAAAATAAATAATAACATTTTCACTTGGATACAGAAGCACAATTTACTCTCTGCCAAGTTACTATTACTTCAAGATTAGTTAATCCTGGGCACAAATAAATAAATTAGCATAGTGTCATTCGATTGCAGAGGTCTAGCCAAAAAATGTAGACGTAGAGAAATCATGAATTTATATAGAAAAAAGAAATTCTCTATTATATGTTTACAAGACATACATATTTCCACAGAGTATGCGAACACAATGAGAAATGAATGGGGCTTTGAGTGTGTCATTGCTCCAAACCCCAATGGTGTAGCCATTCTTCTAAATAATAACTCTGAATATCAAATAAAATATGTCTAATCTAAAGACGAAAATGTAAATTACATAATTTTAGATGTTAACTCAATCAAATCGGTTGCGTTATATAGCAGCTTTCATTCGGTTATTACTATTCATGATATGTATATCATGGCAGAGGAATTTCTCAAGTCAGTCCCAGGTACAAACAATGAACATTTTTCCCACTTGGCAAGCGTCTGCGAATTTGTGGATAAATGTAAGGGAAATTCACAGAAACAAACATTAATGTCAGACTTTTTCCAGAAGAGAGTTCGTCTTTTTGTAGTAACAAGATTCAAGATGGCGCCATGTATATCTATCGATTGCCGATAGATTTTGTTCACGGGTTTTAAGAGGTATATGTATTTCGTATTTCATTTTGCTAGTATTGAAATGTGTTCTCATTTATATACTGTTTGCCTCCATTATCTACATCACCTAATGTATTGTTGTGCTATATCCATTATACCTGGTTATGAAAGTGACCATTTTGCTGTAACTCATTTAAAGATAAGTTAAAGGGACGTGGTTATTGGAAGGTTAATTATAACACATTATTATTGAGACTAGAGCCATATATAACGATAGCAACTTAGTAATGAAACCAGACGTGAATACGCAGACCTTACATATTCAAATGAAGAATTAAACGAGATTAATGATGAACACTTTCGTTTGACTATCTTTTTGGAGACATTTGTAATGAAACTTAGAGGAAAATCCATTTCGTACTCGTCATATCTTAAGAAAAACAGATATATGTCGCATAGGAGACGAAATAAGAAGTAACTTCCAAAACGTTAATAAAACACTTCTTGCTGATTTATCTAAAAGTAAACTGAATTCGAAAAACTAAAAGAAGAAGAAATGAAAGAAATTAGAAATAGAATCCAGTGTTATGAAGAAGGGGATAAACCTACAAAGTATTTTTGTCATATTGAGAATAGAAGCTATACAGACAGACAGACAGACAGACAGACAGACAGATTTATTTCGTAGTGTGGCCATGAGGCCAATAGTACAGTGACATTTTGACATCATGTTCTTTGGAGCGCAGGCATGAGAAGTACACTGGCATTTATAAGTATCATAAAACGTTATGGATTTTGTTTACAAATATGGCTAGGCGTAAAATAATATTTGCATTTTGGGTGTTAAGTAAATTTACAAACTTCTCTATGTTGGGATTTACACAATAATATAGTCGTATATACCTTATGCGTAAATCAGAAAAAACAGGACATTGTAA